GGACGCTTTCGTCGAATTCCTTATTCATGCTCCAGTCGAAGTCCGTGTAGCCCTTTTCCCGAAGCACCCATTCGCCTTTGCAGGCTCGCAATCGCTTGTACTCGTTGGACTCTCCCTCGGCGCCGTATGTTTTCTTCTTCAGTTCCTCGAAGATGAGCGTCTTCTGATCATCCCCTACGGTGGTATTTTCCACGGGCCGATTGCTATCCCACAGTTCTTTCAATCCGAGGAAATGCAGTATTCTTGTGAACGTGGTTTGCTTGTAATCTCCGAGGCAGATGCATAGTAGGTTGCACTGCCTCATGGAATTCGACCACCTTGTGCCACCACGAAATTTGACGATTGCAAGATCCAATTTTAAAAACCTGATGATTTTTTTCAGGCGAGCGATGAAGGGCCTCTCCAGCTTGCCGCTGTCCTGCAGCGCGACGATGGTCCAGTCCGAGAATACGAGCAGGACAGCGGCGATGGCCTCGAGCACAAGAGCGACAATAAGAAGGATGTAAGTTATGATGACGTCGGCGTCGCTAAAATTATGCCTCCCGCTACGGCGGAAGAGCACGAAGGCGAGGACTACCAAGGAGAGCGACAAGGCTCGCACCAGGCGACCTCGTAGGGTATGGACACGGACGGCTTTGGTGTGGAGGATGTCGTGCAGTAAAGAGAGCTCCACCTCCACCACCTGGAAAGCATGGATGGCATCAAGCTGCAGAAAAAAGTTTTGGCTATCTGTCCGATCATGTAATCCCAGCCAGAGGTCCAAGGCGAGGCGCTTGGCGGTCTCGAAGAAGCGATATGCCCCGATTATGATGTCCTTTTCGGATATAGAGCAGACTGCTTCTTTAGGAAGCGGGGGCAGTGGTACTTTATCTACCGAGATATTTGCGTTCAGCCCACAAGCAACACGACAGTGATACTCCTGCATGAACTTGGCGTAGTTAGGAGCGTTGCTGATCATGGATTTCCTCAGCTGGTCCATACTGGCCGACCGAAGCGCCAGCGTCCGCTCCGCGTACTTGAGGATTCCAGCGGTGAACACCACGATGGCGACTTTCCACAGGTGAGGGCTCGGCAGCGACTCGAGGAACACCAGGATGGCTACTGAGACCTCGAGAATCATCCCGAGCAGGTGGCGCAGCCAGAGCTCGTTGTCCTCCCGGGAGTAGGAGGTGATAGTGTCGGGGCCGCCGAGGTGGACGAGGAGGAAGGGAGCCCAGAAGGCGGTGAGGTCGCCGTTGATGTTCCGTTCGCTCGCCTCGGTCTGGTCGTTGAGGAGGTTGCCGAGCGCCAAGGCGGCGACGTAGTCGGCGCCCAGGTAGGAAGTCCAGAGGATGAAGCTCAACAGCCTGTTCTGGCACCGCTTCCGGAAGAGGGAGGCGACGATGAGGACGATCTGCAAGCCGAGGCTGAGGAGGACCAGGATGCGGATTTCTTCCGCACTCCATAGTTTCCTGATCTTCGTGGGGACGATCTTCATCTGCCCGCCTCTCTTTCTTACGCCTTCTCCTCCCTCCGACACAACGCGAACTCCTCATATATAGCAATCGAGCTCGACAGTCTTTCACCGTGCTAAGCTGCCGCATCTCGCGAGCGAGACGGTTCCCATCTTTTATACTTTAACACATGACTGTCGCAAGCAAAGCTTTTGTGCCAAATTTGCTTTTCCTAAATGTTCCTTGCGTGGCTCGCCCAAGCTACCATACCAGTGAGGGACGTCCGTCTTGTCATTGGTCGATAGTGTTTGTCCCACCTTACATTGCTGGCAACCAACGGGAAAGGCGCTTATTCCTTGGTTGGGGGCTCGATCGAGACAGGTGACTCAGGTGCCGCAGCAATTCTCATAGAGGCTCCACCTATGGAGCCGTTGCTTTCGGCAATCACGAGACAGGTAGTTCGCCGGGTGCAGGCTGAATGTGTGACAAAAATATTGCCCTCGCAGGATTGGGTTCTTGAGTGTGTGTGTAAAACTAGGATCGGAAGAAACCGTACTTATCTTTTTTTTTTCCCCTATTAGGGACAAAACAAATCGGAAATGCGTGCTAAGATCGATGGCTGATTAAGAATCAAAGCTTTTGTATTTGGTGGCGAAGTTTTTTTTGTTGTCTGAGTTGTAATAGGATCCAATCGACGTTCTTGTCTATCTAAGCTCATTTCACCGTTTTGATCGAAGGAGCTGGATCAACAAAATTATATTGGGGGTACTTTTGATAAATATCACTTGAATGATAAAATTAATCTCGATTTTTGATTAGTTTGACTCATCGGACAATTCTCTCAAAAAAAATCTATTAATATGTGTCGATAACACATTTGGGAGCCTCTTTGATAGGTGGCTTTGTAAACCGTTACTCCTAGGACTAGCGATTGTCATGGGGTTGATCCTGCATCCTTATTGGGTCGAATCAAGATAGTGATGTCACGATACATCGAATCCAAAATTTGTCTTGACAAACTCAAGCCACGTTGGAACCACATAGCATTGAACATACAATTAATGTGGCCTTAGTTGATTGATATGCCAACCACCCAGTGCCAATGTGTTGTCTGTACCATGACCACTTGTCAAGCACATGTGGTTAGCATGGCCTTGGGAAATCGACATGTCAACCACATTAGGTGTTGGCCATATCATTTGCCATCTATCGGTAGCCCCCTTGCTTCGTAGCTCGTTTGAGCGCAATGCTATCTAGTCAAGAAGCAACTTTGATTGATATTGTAGTATTTATAAGAGAGATGATTAGCATTCAATTGGGGTATCATTTGTGTTTGGCCTTTCGATTGTACACCATTAAAATGCACATTCAACCTTTCAACTATGAGTCATATATTGCCTTTCGACTATGCATTGTCGATATGTACATTCGGTCCTTCAATTGTGCATTATCGATATGCACATTCGGGCTCTTGATTGTGCATCGTCAGTATACCCATTTGGCATTTTGACTATGCATCATAAATATGCATATCTATCCTTTTAATTGCACGTCATCATTATGCACATTCGGTCTTTTGGCTATGCATAATTGATATGCATATTCGGCTTCTTAGTTATGCATCATCGATATTCACATTCGACCTTTGGATTTCACCAAAGATGTTGCTTCATCTTTTAAGATTTTGGTCATATCTACCGGCGTGCATCAATTTAGCCTCATTCTCTAATGGCAATGTTAATTCGATCGCTCATTAAATTTGGTGAGAATTGATCTCTGAGATTTTCATAATGATGACTTGTCGAAGCATTGACATTGTCCACGTGTAAATTCTTTGAACAGTCGAGGATTCAAAAGTTCGCCATGATTATACCACTTTGGCTTCATGCAATGATGTGCCACCACATAGCATGTTAGTTGAATCATCGTATGATAATGTGGTTAGTAGAAGGGTCACTCAGACCCTATAAATAAAATGTCTTCTTCATATGCTCTTCTTCATATGCTCCTCTCATTATTTTAGAATCATTCAGAGCACTCAGACCTTTAGTGGCCTCAACCTTTCAACATCTTTAGAACACTTAGAAAAGTTCATAATGTCTTCCTCCTCCATATCTTCTTCCTCTTCTGATCGAGAATCGGGTAGTTTGAGAATCCAATCCGTCAACTATATACCAATTATAATAATTCATTCGACTCATCGACTACGAACGTACTAGGCCACTACGTCGTAGTCGTCAAACGATATATAAGAATCTAATCCTTTGGACCTATCTGTCCTTAATTATCATGTACCTATAGTCCATTATCCATCTAATACCCCAATGACTATATACCAAGCATGGTGTTGTCAAGCCGATATGATTTTTACTCAAGTCTCACTCTAATCGTATTCTCTCGGAGAACTCTTTCTCTCTCAATCCAAAGGACCTTGGCTAGGGATTTATCTAAGCAAGAACACATGAGATATTCCTCTCATGACACTGAAAGTGGATGATCCTCTATCGAAACTCAATAGCCATCGTATGGTTGGCTACCACTTTCAATAACAGAGTGTGCTAGATCTGAATCTTTCAGGCCTATAAGTCCAGCATCAAAGAGTAGAGTACTTATACAGGATATCCATGATGTCTCAAATCTAAGGACCATATACACCACATGGACAACGAAATCACAATGAGGCATCATCAACTATCCAACATTTCGTGAGCGGATCAATCAGTGAACTCATTTTCCAATAAGCACCTACACTGTATCCCTAGTATCCCCACATGAGCAGCTACGAGACCAACCACCTTCATCATATGGATGAGTATATAATATATTAGTATGTCTAGTTATCTCGATGTCCCTCTTGAGTAATCTATGATCGGGATTCTTTAGAATCTGTGTTTAAAGGTGAATCGGTCTTACTATCGTGATCTCATCATGATCTGATTCCCATTGCATAGATCCATGGATATATATATATATATATATATATATATATATATATATATATATATAAAGTAATATAAAATGAGAAAATACCATAATAATAATAAGCAAAAAGAGTGCATGTCATGTCACACATGTCATCAGTCATGCGATTGGCTTGCAGGGCACCTGTGACTAGCAACGGGTGGCCATCAACTTAACATGATCTATTGAGAAGTATTAGAATACCATCTCGAGGTTGAATGGGTCAAAATGGGAGCAACACTATCGATTAGCCAATGCTCTTTTTGAGATGATTTTGTAGATGAGTAAGGGTTGGCTCATGAAAGAAGGGCTCAGTCATATGCCTCAGGGTTTGTATCTGAATCTAATCTCCTCATTATTTATTTCCTTTGAACCCATCCTGACCTTGCTCCCTATATAAAGATGGATCTTTTGTGCTAACATCTTCCAAATTATCGATGTGGTCGAAGTGCCACAATGTTACTGGAGTCACACACACATGGCTCATCACCCATCGACATCTTGACGATATGAGGATTTTGCATGAGAGCAAAGGTGAGATGAACTCACTCTAGAAGTTTAAGAGGTAGCTCATGCACCGACCAATGGTCAGGGCTTGATAATAGCAACCGAGGTGAGGCTTGGAAAGCACCCTACTGATCTTCCGCCTCTACCGCTGCCACCAAGCCAATGCCAAAGGGGCAGAGAAGTCCCTTCCTCCTCCCGACAGGCCGAGAGCTCCTAAGATAGTGGGAGTTGGGAGACGCCTTGTCATTTGACTATGATGATTGTGTTGGGATATAACCTTTTTGCTTTGGGTTCCCTTACATAAGTCTTATGGGAGGACGTGCTAGTTCCACCTAATGCTGATCCCCCAACTATCACATCAACCTATTGCTCAATAGGTCATTTGGGCCTTAATGATGTTACTCAGACCTCATGGAGGTAGTAGTGCAGGTATCTTTTCTGATTAAACTCTTCGATTTATTGTTTCATATCGTAGTAATCCTCCATCTTATGTCCATGGTTTTAGTGAAAACGATAAAATCTTGATCGATTCCATTTAGTTGGTGGAGCTCATAGAGGGTGAGGTGTATGGAGGAGCCCTTTCTCTCTTATCTACGTGAGCACCTCAATATGAGAGGTATTTAATGGAGTATATTCTCGATTAGAGAGGACTTGATCTCCCGTTGGTATTTTATTATGTGATCGCTAGAATATTTGGTTATGGAGCCCTATCCTCCATCATTTTTTTTGGGTTTCTAGCTCCTTTTCCCATGGTGACAAACTCAGTCATAAGACATTAGTTTGCTTCTTACAACAACTCTAGAAATATGATTTGAGGTTGTGTGATGATAAGTAGAAAAACTCCAAGAAGACCGTCGATATAAGCATTAATTAGGACAGATGAACTTGACTTAACTACCAATCTTATTTCATCATTGAACCATTTTATGTAACTTGTCAGGGACTCTTTGACTTATTGATGTATTACTAAAAGAGAGGTTATAGGCTTATTTGGCAACTTGTAACTAATAAAATTGAGTTCAAATTCATTGGCAAGCTCATCAAAAAGAGGAGATCGATTCAGGAGAAACTTAGAGAATTATTCTCTCATCGCCCCTTACATAATTGTTATGGAGGTGTAACGTGTAAGGGGGTTTGTCATCCTAAATAATGTTATTTGTGGTGAATGTAGCTACATGTTTAGCAGAATCAAAGTTCCCTTACTCTAATGTTGGTATTCGGAACCCTTTGAGATTGATTCTTCTATAATACTTTTTACATAGAGACCTTAAGTAGGGATCGATCTCTTGTTGCTTTTCTTGTCTAATCTTTTATTTAATATCCTCCATTCGTTGGTTCATCTCACAAAGCTAAATGTGAACATCTAAAGGGAGCTCGACTAATTAAGCAATGGACTCCTTTTGTCTCTTGGGCCCTTGGAGAGGATTGCGATGTTGCCCATGAGAGAGGTTTTGAGGGGAACTATTCCTTATGGTAGATCAACTGACAGAAGTCATGAGTCTACCATTAGGAGTTGAAGCAGGTAGTGGTACTAAATTAGGAAAATGTGGAGTTGGGCATGAGCAATGTTGTGTTA